GTTTTTTTTTTTATTATTAAAAAATTTTATCAATTCCTGTTCGAATAAAAGTAAAGATTTTACTTCACCCCTGCTGCACTACAGTGTATTAAAAACTGCCAATAAAAGCCTAATGCTAAAACAAATAGCACCAATTGAAAACCATGTTATTTATCTAAACAGCAGCACTTCTAATGTAAAGGACAGCAACTAGAAAAATGCCATTCAAGCAAACTGAAACAAATAGAGCAATATCATCAGAGAGACGGGGACAATGAGAAGAGCATTAGCCGGAGCGGTGGGCAGAAGAGGAGCTGGCACTGCAGATGGACACATTCTTGGCACCTATCGCACATCGGGACTGAACAGTGACACTGGGGCCATGTTGCTCTAATGGAATGTGCCACCCAAGACCTCCAGTGAATGTGAACATCACATGCTACTGAACACCTGGACGCAAGCCAACAGTGAGTCCCATATACACGGTCCCTACGGTCTCACACACGCACGTCGCCAGCGTGCCTCGCCTCACACACAGCACTGATATAGTCCTGATGAGACATCACGTGAAGCCATTACACATGAAAAACACACACATACTGTACATTCACTCACTGACAAGTGTTAACATCACTCCCTCAAAAGAGGAAAAATGTTTATTTAAACTGTTTATTTAAAAGGAGCTGAAAAAACACAACTCTTGAGGGACAACTTAATTGTTTTATGTGCAATCCACTTACATTTGTAAAAACTACTAAGTTAACTTAATTCCTTCATGTTTCCCCAACACACATCAAGCGAAACCCAGTATTTTGTACAGTGCTGATGATTTTGACCATAATTGATAAATTTAATAAACATGGTTCAGTTATATTCAGAAAAAAAAGTATCTGAACATATTGATTATGAGTTAAGTCTGTACGAAATCAAATATTTAAATGCATAATTAGATGGCGCACATTGCTGTCCTTTAGGTGAACAAAGAACAAATTAATTAAATTCAATTCAATTCAGCTTTATTTGTATAGCGCTTTTACAATATATATTGTGTCAAAGCAGCTTCACATAAATGGTCATAGTAACTGGATCAGGGTAGTTTAGTTTTTAGTGTTTAAGTTCAGTTTAGTTTAGCTCAGTTCAGTGTGGTTTAAAGTCATTACTGAGAGTCCAAGCACTGAAGAGCAAATCTATCGATGTGTAGCTCTACAGATCCTGAACCATGCAAGCCAGTGGCGACAGCAGAGAGGGAAGAAAAACTTCACCAATAGGAGAGTGAAGGAAAAAAAACCTTGACAGAAACCATAAATTAATCCACTAGAATTTTTTTTTTTTTTTTTTTGGTAATGTTTAATCAAAGTCTGACAATTTGTTTCTGTGTTTGGAGTACTGGTCATTCTCTATTGACGTCAGTTTGATGGTTTCCGCCAAAATATTTTTAAACACGCCCCTCTTACAGTTAGTTTACTAAAAAAAAATTATGTGCAAAACGGAAGCCCCGCCACCTGCGGAAAATACCTCAGTATTCCGTCTCAGTGGAAGTACATCAACTTACTGTAATAAAAGTCACATCAACTTCTGGTTCACAGAGACTATAGGGTGATTTTTAAATTCATTCAAACAGAGAAACTCATTTATCACATCAACTAAAGAAATGCAACACAAAGGCGTATAATCAAATGTCAATACTTTCTGTTCTTATTTTAAGCAACTATCATTTGTAAAATAAACTAAAAGAATTAATTAACAATTGATTAATTTGGAAATCACTTTTCAAACTGGATTGATTTAAAATATACATGTTTAAAAGTGGCGACGCGGTGGCCCAGTAGGTAGTGCTGTGACCTCACAGCAAGAAGGTCGCTGGTTCGATGTTTCTGTGTGGAGTTTGCATGTTCTCCCCTCGTTTGCGTGGGTTTTCTCTGGGTGCTCTGGTTTCCCTCACAGTCAAAAGACATGCGGTACAGGTGAATTGGGTAAGCACCGTAGTGCATGTTTGTGAATGAGTGTGTATGGATGTTTCCCAGAGATGAGTTGTGGCTGCAAGGGCATCCTCTGCGTCAAAACATATGCTGGAAAAGTTGGCGGTTCGTTCTGCTGTGGCAACCCCAGATTAATAAAGGGACTAAGCCGACAAGAAAATGAATGAATGTTAAAAGTGGGGCGGTATGGGGCACAGTGGGTAGCACTATTGCCTCACAGCAAGAAGGTCAATGGCTTGAGCCTCAGCTGGGTCAGTTTTTGTGTGTGGAGTTTGCATGTTCTCCCTGTGTTCACGTGCGTTTCCTCCAGGTGCTACGGTTTCCCCCACAGTCCATAGACATTTACTATAGGTTAATAGGGTAAGCTAAATTGTCCGTAGTGTATTTTCTTTTCGGCTTAGTCCCTTTATTAATCAGAGATCACCACAGCGGAATGAACCGCCAACTCATCCAGCATGTTTTACGTAACAGATGCGCTTCCAGCTGCAACTCAACACAGGAAAACACCTATACACTCTTGCATTCACACTCATACAGTATGGCCAGTTAAGCTTATTCAATTCTATACCACACAGAAATGCCAACTGACCTAGCCAGGGCTCGAACCAGAGACCTTCTTAGTGTGAGGGGATCATGCTACCCACTGCACCACCATGACACCCTAAATGGTATTTATTTCAATTTGAATGAATTCTATGCAGTAAAGGACATGCAAATGCTGCTAAATATTTAGCTATAAACTAAATAAATGTACATTTAAATTTGTAACACATTTTGAAAAGTAGTTAATACAGTAAAACAATGAAATATTGCTGGCAAGTTTATTTATGTTAAATCCAAGTCTTATTAAATGTAATGAGAGGGAAAAATCAAAAGTGCAGCTTTTTAATTTAGCTAATGCCTTTTTATTGTCCTATTTTTGACCAAGACAGCTTTGAAAGAATGAAAAAAAAGTTGGAAAAAAATCTATTTAACTATTTATGAAATACTATTTTAAAATAGTGGTAATAACCAATAAACTTTTGAATATTTTAAGACACGCACCTTTGGCATAAAATGACACAAGTACATTTTACTATGTTCCAAATTCAACACAATTACTTACAAACTTGTTAAATATAACTTAGTTGGTTAAGTTGGCTGAGTTGTTGTGTGAACTTAATCATTTAAATTATGAACCTGATTTATGTTTAGTTAAAACTCTTTATTTATTTAGATATAGTTATATTTATTATACATTTGGTAAATCGCACTATTAACAAACTATCAACTATGACTTTTAACTCAATAAACTACTAATTTGTTGTGTGAACAAAATAATTTGAATTAATGACCTGATTTATGTTCAGTTAAAACTAATTATTTATTAGATACAGCCAGGCTCGGACTGGTTAATCGAGAGAACCAGGAGCATTCCAGGTGGGCCGCTCTATTTTTTGGCCGCGAGGGTCGGTATCCCTAGCTGCTTGCACTCTCAGCAGTCACACTTTTTTCATTTATGTGTTTATTTGACCATAGCATCACTCTTTTTATTCACTATTTTGCTGCAGCTCCACTCTTTTTATTTATTTTCTTGCAGCCTCGTGAGAAAATGCAGCCTGTAGGTTAATGATGATGTAACTATCATTTGACCGCAAACAACGGCACCTTAGTCAATATAAGAAATCAAATAATAATTATTAATGAATATTACACCTGCTCAATGAAAATCAGATGATTCCCTACATAAATAACTCTGACAGTACTTGATCAGAAATCTAAAAGTGGGAGAAATAGAATATGCCATTGTGGTCCAGTGGTCAGCATGTTGCATTATGACACTGACTCGAGTTCGAACCTCTCTTAATGTATGTATTGATTTATTTATTTTTTTATTTTTTATTTTTTTTCATTTTTAGTGTCAGGACATACAATACTGTTTGGGTTACTTACATTGGTGTAAATATTTATTTATTTTTTGTGTGTGACCACCAGACTGGATATCTATAAAGAATTTTGCACGGAATATATATTCAGATAATGCCGAAAAGGACATTGTGATGTTTTAAAGAATAGTGTTGGAGATTTAGCTACCCTGCAATGTTCTCATATTTACAAAAAAACATTTGAAGTTCTAAAGCAGCTGTTTCCTTGAAAAAGACGTGATAGTGTCATTAGAAACTGAATTGGAAATAATGGTATTTTAATAGTCAGTCTTGAACTGAGGTGGGCAGGTCTAAGGCTTAAAACTCCAGGGCTGAATAGGAGTCCCACTCCGACCCTGGATACAGCTATATTTATTACAAATTTGCTACAATTAGCACTTTTCACAACTATTAATTATGACCTTTAGCTCAGTAAACTCCTAATTTTATGCTTATTAATAGTTTTTATTTGAATATCGTTTAGATATTGGATAGGATTAGGGATGTAGAATAAGATCAGGAAGAACATGTACTCTATAAGTACAAAGAAACAGCCAATATCTTAATAAGAGTCAGTTCATAAGCTACTGAATCTTGTTTTTGTTTTGTGCTCATCTCATTTATACTGAAGATTAATCTGTTGTCACATTATACCACAAATCCAACATTCCGAGCACGAACACAAACTGAAAGTTTTTTGCAGACGTCTTTTCAAAGTCCTAAGATAGCCCAAGCATATAAATGGCCACCAGTGGTGAACTTTCACGCTCATATGGTCACCTGTCCTCCAAAATAAAATGTCATTGCAGAGGCGACAGCTTCAAAGAGCCAGACCAGACTTTTTTTTTTAGTATGATGCAAGGCAGGCCAAGAGCCCTTGTGTCCTGCAGTCCAACTACAGTAACATCCTTGGACATTTCCAGCTACTTTTACATCCTTGAGTTTTTCTTTTAATGCTACGTTTTAGTCTGTGTAATTCAATTTACTGCACCATTTCTCTGTATTTTGATTTCCCAGTTCTGATCCTCCAGTGGTGGGGAAAAAAGTGTTTTTCAAACCAGCACATGTGCTCCAGCCATGGTCACATGCAAATTTGCACAAACGCTAATAATTGAAGAGTCAAGGCTATCAATCTTACCCTCGTGTGTTGCATCCCCAGGTTGTTTATAAGGGTTGAACTTGGGTTTAGGAGCCACAACAGGAGCAAACTTTTTCGGAGCCTGCTGCTGGGATATAGAAATGCTGGTTGTACCCATGGGTAAGCTGGTCTCCATTCGAGCACTCACATGACCTTGCTGGTCACCATCATTATGTCCACCCCACATGTTTCTGGAGTTGAGAAATCTGAAAAAACAAAACAATAACAAAGCCAGTTTATTATACTGCACTGAGACGCACAGGTCCCATTGCATCCGGAATATCCACAATGCGATAGGAATTGCAGTGGTGTCTGAATTCCAGCGTTACATTCCTTCCATAAAAATACAGTTGTTTTTATGCATGACAGAGATGAGGAGTGGATTGTGGGTTCTTTTCATCAGGGACCAAATCCCCTTGTGCATTGGAGTCTTCTCCCACTCTTTGTTCTTAGCATTGGACTTTGCAAAGGGAAACTGTGCATTTCAAACTCCCAAGAGTCTGTCAGATCTGATTATTACATCAGAAAATCTGGGTATGTAAAGTTCTCTCAAAGAAAAAAGCAAGTTCTGTCACAACAAATAAATGCTGATCAAATGAATGAATACAATATACTGCAATTTAGAAGTGAGAACTAAATTAGTTTGTTTTTAATAAATTATTCAGTTTTATCAAATAAATCATATGGTTTAGGATTTTTTTTTTTTTTTTTGCATGTGATTTTGTGAATCACCCTCACAAACTTGCCCAGAAGTCTTAATATTTAAGTTTCAGACCAATATGAGGCCATTCGATTATCGCAAAAATCACAATTATGTTGTAATCATGATTATTTAACATGATCATGAGTGTCAAATGAAGACAAAAGGACTTAAATATGAAAGAGAAAATAAAAAATAAATGACCATGATTATGTTTTGTTGTGCTGGCTTAGCAAAATCCATGTAAAGTTACAAACAGAACTGCTTTTTAGAACTACTGAAAGATTTAATTAAATTCAATCAAGTTTTGGTTTTGTTTTAATTTGTTTTGTTTTGCGCCATAAACACATCAGCCAACATTTTAATTCTTTCATTCATTTTCCTTCAGCTTAGTCTCAATTTCAGAAATCGCCACAGTGGAATGAACCCCCAGCTATTCCAGCATACATTTTACGTAGCAGATGCCCTTCCAGCTACAACCTAGTACTGGGAAACACCAGTACACTGCAAAAATAATTATCTTACTTAGATTTTTTGTCTCGTTTCTAGTCAAAATCTCTAAAAATTATTTAAGAATTTTCTAGGCAAGCAAAACATATTTTATTGTTTTCAGAAATAATATGGCAATATTCAGTCAGTTTTTCCTTAAAACAAGACGATATGTTTTGCATGTCTAGAAAATGTTCTTTATTTAAGAATTTCTAGATATTTGGACAAGAAACAAGACAAAAAAAATCTACAGTAAGTAAGAAAAGCTTTTTTGCAGTGTACACACACACACACACACACTGCGGCCAAATAAGTTTATTCATATCAACTATAATGCATGTCTTTAGACTGTGGAGGAAACTGGAACACCCAGAGGAAACCCATGCAAACACAGGGGGAACATGCAAACTCCACACAGAAATGGCAACTGACCCAGCTATGACTTGAACCAGCGACCTTCTATCTTTGAGGCGACAGTGCTAATCACTGAGCCACCATGCCACCCACTTAATACATTTTATTTACGACAATCTCATTTCAGAACTGTTCTCCAATGAAGCAAGTATTGAGTAAAGTAAAGTCAAATCGCTGTTTACGGATTTCTAAAACAGCTGTGTAATAAAGTTCAGTAATACTGGACAATAAAAAAACAACAACAAAAACTATAAGTATTGTTGATTTAATTTATTTAGTTGTACTGGCTATTTTTGTACAGAATATAAATGGTTTATTTACCACAGCAGAATTCTACATATAACACATATTAGTGACAAACAAATCCTCGTGTCCTCAAACAAAGATGGAAAATTAAAAATTGGAAAATTGTTAAACTGTGATTTAAAAAAAAGCAAAGAACTATTGCAATAGAATAAATAAAATAAAAACTCAGCTTTAAGATTTTTATGTAAGAGTCAAATATTTAGAAATGAATAATCAAATGTAAAATAAAGCAGTACTCTTCACTGTAAGAATTGCTTTACTTTCTCAAAAATTGTTTCAGTTCAATATCTGTGTTTTAATTAGAGGCCGAAACTGAAACTTTAACTGCATAGCCCTAGTTCAATGTAAATTGTACTCAGTTCCTTACTCAATTCTGATGTGTTAATAGTTGTGTTCACACTTGTTTATTCTTCAAATATGTTTGCTTAAGACAAAAAAATCCAAGCTAGAACTGAGAATGCCCTGAGTGTGTTTTGTAAGCACACCATTCAGATCTATTTCGCTAACTGGATTTAATAAATGGCCCTGCTCTGAAAATGATGTATGATTTCATTACCATAAATATACCAAAACTAGTTATTAGTTTCATTTCAACTTAAATTTTGAATAAGTTCTCTTACATAAAACTTTGAATGTTTTTTTTTTTCATCTGGACCAAAAAAATTAATAAAATAAGACAAAACTGGTCCTGTTTCGCTTAGTATTTCAATTGTAATGTATATTTTAAAGTGTTAAAGGCTTAGTTCACCCAGGAATGTAAGTTCTGTCATCATCTACTCACCCTTGACTTGTTCCAAATTGGTTTGAGGTTGTTTTTTATTTTGTCCTGTTGAAAAAAAAATCCACAAAATATATATTTTGAAGAATGTTAGAAACCTGTGAGTTTCAGGTTTCCAACATTCTTCAAAATATCTTTTTTTGTGTTCAACCGCACATAAAAATATTCAAATTGTTTTGGAAATAGTCAAGTGCAAATGATGACAGAAATGTAATTTTTTGGGGCAGCTATTCCTTTAATAAATTACAAAATATGTTTGTTTGTTAGTTTGTTATTTTAGTTTGTGTGTTTGTTTCCCTTTTTAAGGTGAATATTTTCAGATATCCCCAGAAGGATTGGCAGGAATCAAAACCAAAGATGGTGCTAATCATTCCTCGAGTTCTCTATAACGTGCCAAGGTGACAAATAAGAGGCTGTAATTTGATATAATCCCATAATTTTCACAAGACACTTGCCTTTCCATAGTTAGAAGCAAAAACAAAAAAAAAAAGAACACTAGTTGCTACCCTTATATCAGTTAAATAAAAACATAATACATCACCAAAGCTATGTGTGATGTAGAACGGGGAGTTGTGTCAGATCTATCAAAGCTGCCAAGGAGCATGACAGCGGTTCAGCTTTCACTGACGTGGTGAAAGCTGTCGTACCAGCAACATTAACAACCTGACAATATTGATGACTTCTAATGCATTTATTGACAGCTCCAGGAGCACACGCGCTAACTGCGGCACCACAGACTGAGTCAAATTATTAAAATAACTTACTTTTTTTTATGAGTGTGTTCAACTTGTCTCTGAGACAGACATATTTACATAGTCAGTGTTGTTTACCAGTTTGGGCATTTAGCTGCAGGGTCGCTGCTGTCTATTTTGACTCTTAAAAATTCCATGAACTTTTTCAACTTCTTTCCAACTTGGGTTTATTTGAGTTATTTCTAAATGCTAGAGATTGTGCTGAAGCACACCGATCGAAAGATCCACAGTAAAAGTGACTATATGGTTTTAACCCATATACGGCCTGTTTTTGGCTGCATTCAAGTGGCGATAATAAATTGCGCAATAAATAAAATAGTTTGCTATATTTGTTGAAAACGTAACAGCATTTGACACCGGTGTTGAGGTGCAAATGACCAAACCTCTGCCATGCGGTGATCAAAATAGCGTCGGACATTACACAGTTCGACATTAGCCAAACTATCTGCAGAGTATAGTGTAATGAGATAACTAGCGGGTTGAGGTTAACTGAAATGATTCTTATGTACACGGTAAATCAAATGGCTGGCTGAATTGAAATCCTCATGATGCTCAAGTTTTTCTCCTGTAAACACTTGCGGTACATTAAATAAAACGATAATAAATATATACAAACACCGGCCACTTTATTTGGTACACCTGTCTAACTGTTCGTCAACGCAATTTTCTAATCAGCCAATCTCATGGCAGCCAAATGCATTTGGTCAAGACAATCTACTGCAGTTCAAACTGAGCATGATTTAAGTGACTTTGAACGTGGCATGGGTGTTGGTGCCAGACAGGCTGGTCTGGGTATTTCAGAAACTGCTGATCTACTAGGATTTTCACGCACAACCATCTCTAGGATGTACAGAGAATGGTCCAGTGAGTGGCAGTTCTTTGGGTGCAAATTCCTTGTTGATGCCAGAGGTCAGAGAAGAATGGCCAGACTGATTAGATATGATGGGAAGGAAATAACCACTCGTTACAACTAAGGTATGCAGAAAAGCATCTCTGACTGCATAACCTTGAGGCAGATGGGCTACAGCAGCAGAAACCCACACCGAGTGCCACTCCTGTCAGCTAAGAACAGAAAACTGAGGCTACAATTTGCAGAGGCTCACCAAAATTGGATAATAGAAGATTGGAAAACCGTTGCCTGAGTCTCAATTTCTGATGCAATGTTTGGATTGTACGGTCAGAATTTGGCATCAACAACATGAAAGCATGAATCAATTCCGCCTTGTATCAATGATTCAGGCTGGTGGTGGTGTAATGGTGTGGGGGATATTTTCTTGGCCCACTTTGGGCCCATTAGTACCAATTGAGCATTGTGTCAATGCCACAGCCAACCTGAGTATTGTTGCTGACCATGTCCATCCCTTTATGACCACAGTGATAAGTGTCATGTCATAAAGTATGACACCAAGAACTGTTGTTCCTTTTCACTCTAACGATATTTACAGATACATATTATTGATAAATACATCAAATAAACACCACAAAAAAAACCTAACCATGTCTATTATTTGTGATCGAATACATCTGCCTCACGTTTGCTGTAACTTTCATTATTGCAGACATTAGCATATCCTTGTAGTGTTTTATAAGCTATTCTATGAATAAATGGACACTCCTGAATGAATTATATTTGTGTGCACAATCATTATAAGTGGATAAGCAAGTGGTATTTGTTTTGAATGATTCTGTGCAGTATTCACAGTTTTCTATGTAAAGGTAACAACTTAACTTATGTGCAAAATTAAACAAGTTTAGCTCTTTTTTTCC